ACCCCTCCGAAACACACCTTTGAGACAACTGCTTGAGTTATAACAATGAAAGCCGTGCGATTGAGACCAGTACGCGGCGCTTCTTCCTCCGCAATTTTCAACATCATCGAACCAATTTGACGTAACATTTCACAACATATGCGTATGACACGTTCCTGAAACTTTTAGTTCAAAACTGAAATCACATCGTCAATCAGAATCAGTTTGAAATATATAAATTTTTGATTTACTTGTACTTCTTCATCCTCACTTTTCAAGAGTGCTACAATTTGATAAGCCAATTTGGAAGGCACAGCGTCTTCGATAAGAGGTCGAACAGCAGTAAATGAGGTGATGGTACCTAACACCTGCAAAGTGTGTCGTATATTTCATAGCTTCCATTTGAACTGATTTACCTCAAAAAACCGAGATACAAAGGCCTCGCAGTTTCCGGGTGATAATTCTGTAGTTATGGGTTGATTAACTTTGTCTAGCATCCGTACTATATGGTCCCAGATCATAGACGTAAAACCTTTCGTGTCAAGTTCTAAAATTTTTGTAATAAGCTTGAAAGGTATCTATACCTCGTCTCTTTCAGATTGAAGAAAATAAAAATTAAATGAAAGAGGTCGTTCAAATAAACTCAAAATTTACAACCTCTGGATGAGGTGTAAGCCATAACAGCGTATATCCACAACGATAAGAGTTTGGAGATGATAGGTGCTTGCTGGCCTTCCAGTTTTGCTAAAATCCCATTGCAGAAGGAAAACAAGAAGTTGGCATCGGGTTGAGCACTGAAATAATAAATCAGACTGGTCTTCTTTTCAACTGAAAGCTGATTCCCACCAGCTCAATTTTTCTATGCACCATTTGAACCGCGAAAAAGATTGCGTTGTCCTAGTTCGTATACCTGCAGCTAGCTGAAGAAAATAGTAATTTTCTACATGTTAGCCATCCGAAATATCTTCACAAATTACATAGATCAGTTTAGGTTCATGGGCTTTATTTAGAACGAAATTATAATTGTACTACGTTGGTGCAAAACTGATGCGCGTTCTTATAGCTCTTTTGATGTACAATTTTCCCATCAAATTTTCCTTACGAAAAAATTCGCGAAACATTGAGAAGTGGATTCTCTGCTTTTGAAAGTGGCAAAAACAGATTTCTCAAAACTTCGAGAGAAACCGTCCTAAAA